ATAAGAGCCCATAAAGTGTGTCGGTGTACACGAAACCATTGGTGGAAGTCTATGAATTCCATGTCGGTTGGGTGACCATTGGTGTAAGTCTATAAATACCCACCCCAAGAAAGACCTAGAGATTTTAGTTAGCCATTGGGTGTTTAACACAAATGGCAGGGGCTTGGAAAGCCCAGTTTTGATACTCATTGCATAGCATGGGGTGAAGGTAAATAGCCGGAGCTAGAAAAGCTCGATTTTAATACACATTGGCATTGCATGTGTTGTGGAGCCAGGAAGGGCTCGGGTAAATTGCATGAATGAGCTTCATCTCAATTCATGACATGGTATGTTAGATTCTAACCTTAACTTGCTTAAGTGTTGGTTGGAATGATTGTTGTTATTAAATGTTGCATGTGAACATTGCATATGCACTTAAGTTGGAAAGTAGTTCTGTAGGAAACATTCTACTGGGCATTGACTCATCACCTTATATGGGAAACATTTCAGGTGCGGGATATACTCTGGCGGACGGCTGGCATTCGGGGCCTCTTGGGTGAAGAAAATCTGAGTTGTGGCTTTTGAATACAAGTTTGGTGTAAACTTTTGTTAAAATTCCATTTTGACATGTAACTATATAAATGGCATGTAATAGAACTCGTATGCATTGTGTATAAATGTAGAAAACTTTGTTATACATGCTTGGGATGGATTTGGGAAGGTTTGGAAATGAAAAATTGATGAAACATAAAATTTTGGGCAAAACCTACTAGTAGCTAACAGATAGTACCTGTTCTGTAGGCAAAACCTACCGGTAGCTAACATGTAGTACCTGTCCAGTAGGAAAAAGCTACCGGTAGCTAACAGGTAGTACCTGTCCAGCAGGAAAAAGCTACTGGTAGCTTATAGGTAGAACTTCTACCGGTAGGTCTAACAAACACCTACCGGTAGCTCTTCCGCAAGTCTAAAAATTTAAAATTGTTTTGCCAACCCTTTGAGCTTTGTTTTCTTTAGTCCAAATGGACATTAAACGGGGTATATTGAGGCACATTGGACCTCCGTTGAATTAAATGATTAAAGGAATATGGATTATACGTATGGGTTATGATCCCAGTTAAGGGGATACGATTGACACGATGTTGGGTCGTGCGGCAAACACAGATACTTCTGCGGGTTGATAGGTGGACAACAGTTGAAAAAGGACCTCCGGTTTTAGGGGCGTCACAGGTTCCACTCCCTTGCCCCATAAGCCAATTTCTTTCTCTTTTCAATTTTTTTTTGTCCTTTTTGTTAAACATATTACTTCTTAGTTCTTACCAAGTAATTTACAGCCTCGCTTTGATTACATGTTTTTGTAAGCATTTAGTTCTAATGAAGGAAAAGGAGAACCAGCAAAAAAAAAAAAGGTGTTATTGCGTGATAGTTTTGTAAGGCTAGTTGGGTTCTTCGAATTTGATTAATAAATGTTTACCAAAAATGTAATACATACTAGAATTTGTTGATCTTGACCATTTATTTGGGTGATAAATGTCTAACAACTACAAGATGATTAGTTTTTCTTGTGCAAAGAAATCATAATGTCACTGTGTTTCCATAAAGTATATACAAATTTCACTTTGTCGTGTAAAATAATAATTACACGACAAGGGATGTGAACTAACAAGTTGGGATAACTTTGTTATCATAAATTTAAGGGTACATAAGCCTAAGTACAAAAACGTTCCCGGACTTTTTCAAAATTTCACTAACACCTCTTGTCAGCATTTGTTTTCTTACGAGAGTAATGAAAATGATGATTTTACTTTAATGCCCTTACCAAACACATATATTTACCAATATAACATAACATATATTAAATTTCGTTATTTACCCTTGATTGAGTTAAATTTATTACAAATTTCGCCTTGATCTTAATCAATTGCATTAACTAAATTAAATTTATTTTTAAATTGAAGTGAAGTGTAATTTAATATTATAATTTATTACTTATCTAAACAATAGTCATTTTATTTTAATAGTTAATCTAATTAATTCCACCACTACAATTACAACTAATGTCATCACCACCAAAGTCATGTCTCCGCCACATCTCCACTCTCCATCTCCTTCACACATAGAATTATGGGCACAAGTACTTGTAACTGACAAACAGACATACCAAACAAATTGATTGTCAAAATAGCAACTACCAACTCACCCCCACAAAAAAAAAAATCTAAATTATCGCCACATCTTCATTTTGCAACCCAGATCATTATAACATGAACAATCTAACCACTAACTGATTTGATAAAATTGAACATTATTTTGATGTTAATTTAATAACATTTAATATTAAATTGAAAAAATTAAAAGTAAACTTTATATCAATTTGATAAAATTGAATTTTAAAAAGATACAATTTAATGTTAATCTAGTCTTAATTTGATGGATTGAATTTCAAGTTGATAGAATTAAATGTGAAATTGATTAAATTGACTGTTAATTTTATGGATTAAATTGATAAAACTAAAGGTCAATTTGGTATTAATTTGATAAAATTAAACTTGAAATTGATGAAATAGAAAGTCAATTTTATGTTAATTGGATGATATTAAATTTTAAATTGATAAAATGAAATTACAAAGAGATGTCAGATAATGAGGTGAAATAAAAAGAGAGATATCCAAATGGGGAGGAGTAAGAGAGGTTAAAATTGATTTTTAAAAATAATTAATGATGACGCCATCATTTTTTAGTGTGTCTGTAACGACTGTTCATGACATGGGGTGTGAATGAAATAAACATATTAACTACAAGGGAGTGCAGTAAGATTTTAGAAAAAAATAGGGGACGCCATTGTATTTAAATCTATTTATAAGAAGTGTTGATGAAATTTATCCTAAATTTAATGAATGGCCCTTTTGTGAATGCTACAGATTGGTCTCCTAAGTTCATAGTGGAGGGCCATTTTGTACAGTATAACATATGGTCGGCTTTTCTTAATGTCTAAGTAATTAGCTAGGGCCACCTTCGTCAACATTATAGTTACATACTTGCATCAAAATTTAATGAAGGAAAATAAGATATGTTTTGGGTCGTTCCTCTCTTTCTCTCTCTAGAAATTTTTGTGTGTATTTAATACACCACCTAACAAAACCAAATGATATACATAACCAATCAAAAGTAGTATATTTTCAACAAAAACCGTCATTTATTAATATACTTGACAATTTTTTATTGACTATACACACTATTTGACAGTGGTAAACCCATACAATATTTTATCCTCTCTTTCTTGCTCTCGGAAGTAATTATACACTGGCAGATTTGTTTCTCAATTGCAAAACTGACATGCAAGTGATTAGGGGTGTTTAAATTTTCAATTGGCTGCAATTTCCTACCCTACCCGATCCTACCCTACCATACTGAACGGCTAGTTGCAAAAATCAGGTAGGAATGCGGAATACCCATCAATTTCTGCATTCCTACCCTACCCTACCCGCAAAAATATATTTAACTTTTTTATAGTTTTTTTAATAATTATAAGAGTATTTGTGTGGTATAGTTTATATTATAATATTGTTATTGTTGTAGATGTTTGAGTTGCGAAAACATGAACTTATTTTTTTGTGTAGGTTACATGATTTGTGGTGAACTGTTGATCTATTGGAGTAGTTATGATTTTAATGTGTTTCATATGGTTTAAATTTAAAATAATTGTTATTGTATTTGTGTAACAATTATGATGGATTGATGTTCATGTTTTGTTATGTTTTATTGTAATTGTTGTTGTAGTTGTTTTATGTTTTAGTGTTATTGATTTATTGTGTTGTTAAATTGGTGCATGTTATTTAATTGAATTGTTAAAATGATCCAAAAATTAATAGTTATAAAAGTGTTTACCCGACTTCCTACCCAATTCATCGAGTAGAAAGTCGGGTAGGAATACCACACCTGATCGGGTAGGGTAGGCCAAGAAAAAATTCTTCGGCAAAGTATCGAGTAGGAAGACGAAAGATTATATTTCCTACCCGTAGGGTAGGGTGAACACCCCTATAAGTGATTGCACCCATTGCAGCGTATACATACAAATAATAGGGATGCAGCTAATGTAAGAGTTCTTCTGTTATATTCTAACCTTATGAGAAGCATTGCCTTCTCATTGTTTAAGATGAATTCATTTGTGTAGAAAGATTTTATTAGTAGTAAAGTTATTCCATGTAGACGTAAAGTCAAACAAATTCTTACATTCACACACGTGTACATAAAGAGAGAGAGAGAGAGAGAGCTAATATGTTATGCATGGATACCAGTACCCATAGTTCCTACTTGACATATTGTTGTTTTTTCACAATGAGATTATCAACATAATCGGTTTGCGATTGAGACTCAAAATTACAATACTCCTTAGGATTGGAACCATAATATACGAGGTAAGATGAAAATACTAAATCTATATATTTTGTTTCATAGTGTTTGATAAACGTGTAAAATACTTTATAGATGTAATTTTAGTCATTCACTGAACAACATATGTTGCAAGACAAAATTGTCCATGTAATCTATTCACCCCCTTGTGCACCTCAAAATGGACAACTTTGTATAACGAGGATCCGTGTCATTACAAATTGAGTAAATTTTCAAGTTGCCTCGACAAGTATCTTATAACATTCATTGGAAGGAAAGGAGAAGAGAATAAATGATGTACATAAAGTTTACAAAGTCACAACCCAAAGTTCAAATATAGACTATACATGTAGGATATCAATTTTGACTGTGACAGCTATGGACAAGTACATCACTATATATTGCAAGACATATAAATCTCACTCAAAACAACATGACAGCCATCGCCAAAACCTTATATGGGGAAGATGGTAATAGTCTCCTGATACCTGATGGCAAGAACTAGTTGACCTTCGAGCCCTCGCTAATCCTCCGCAAATCTAAATTTGAATACAATACAAATCAATTACCAAATGATGACAATAATGCAAAAAATATAAAGTAAATAATCAAGGAAAAAGAAAATAACTCACCCGATCTCTGAGAGCTGCAAATGGGTTTTAGCATAGTCTGCAAAAAAGGCATCCTCATCCTAGAGCAAAATAATCATTCAGTCAAGAATCTTTTGTGTGCATATCAATGAAAGAGATAGATAAAACTTCATGATTCAAAATGTTTTACATACTGCAGCATATTTCTCAACTAGAGGGCGGAATACTGGATCCTCCAGAAGAGCTTTGTCTGATGGAAGCTGGATAAGACCTTCCTTGTCTCCACTTAGGAGTTCCCTATCAAAATAAATCATAATCAAATCAGTAAATTGGTTGTTCTCTGTATATTTCTCGAGCAATTCGGAGCAAAATTACCAAGTACAATTATGATAATAGTTTATTGCAAATAGAAAGCAAAGAGAAGATACAGTCATCATCAACTTGGGTAAGCATATTCAGGAAGATAAACCAGACTCACTAGAAGTAGGAGTTATCAAAGATGAGAGGATTTGTAGTCCAAGGTCCCTCAAAACTAGAATGCTTCTTATGACACTGTCCCCGTTCAATAGTTCCGGGCAAACACAGAAAAATTAGTCGACATTATGGCAAATAACATACTCTAACCATATCAATACTGATATTCCATTGAAGTTTTAAAGAAAATGCAGCAGCACAGTTTGCTGAACCTACCAGAATGTGGCCACCAGATAGAGCAACAATATCTTTATCACCAAGCCCCATTTGGCCAAAAACGTCCCTTTGATAGTTCGAATCTGAAAAAATAGTAGGATTGTAGAAACACTAAATGACTTATATAACCCTAACATTCATAGCTACTTTATCTGATTATAGTGAAAGAAAAAAGGAAGTAACCTTTAGTGGCATCAGGCAACTGACCTTCTAGAGGTGGTTCACTTTTGTCCTGAGGCCAATGTACTCATTTTGGTTACTACAGTTATTAACAAGTCACAAGCAAGTTAATTGTGTCTACCAGACTTCAATGAACATGAATGGGTAATATTTGAGTTGATTTCTAATGATTTCATACGGTAATAATTCCAAATAAATTGGCTAGCCTATTATCAATTGTTACTCTACAAGGCTTTCCCTAGAGGCATATGTCGTTCAACAACATAGACTAAGTAGCACAACCCTTAAGAATTTGCCAAGACTCAAACAATGCAAGTGCACAATAAGTCCTTACTTAGTCCTAACTAGCCATCCAACAGTGCACTTCCGTTGGTATAAGAGCCCATAAAGTGTGTCGGTGTACACGAAACCGTTGGTGGAAGTCTATGAATTCCATGTCGGTTGGGTGACCATTGATGTAAGTCTATAAATTCCCACCCCAAGAAAGACCTAGAGATTTTAGTTAGCCATTGGGTGTTTAACACAAATGGCAGGGGCTTGGAAAGCCCAGTTTTGATACTCATTGCATAGCATGGGGTGAAGGTAAATAGTCGGAATTAGAAAAACTCGATTTTAATACACATTGACATTGCATGTGTTATGGAACCAGATAGGGCTCGGGTAAATTTCATGAATGGGCATCATCTCAATTCATGGCATGATATGTTAGATTCCAACCTTGATTTGCTTAAGTGTTGGTTGAAATGATTATTGTTGTTAAATGTTGCATGTAAATATTGCATATGCACTTAGGTTGGGAAGTAGCCTTTGTAGGAAACATTTTACTAGGCGTTGACTCACCCTATATGGGAAACATTTCAGGTGCGGAACATACTCCGACGAACGGCTCGCATTTGAGGCCTCTTGGGTGAAGAAAAGCCGGATTGTGGCTTTTTAATACAAGTTTGGTGTAAACTTTTGTTAAAATTCCATTTTCACATGTAATTGTGTAAATGACATGTAATAGAACTCGCATGCATTGTGTATAATGTAGAAAATTTTATTATACATCAGTGTTTTAAAACCCGGCCCAGACGTTAACTCGACAAAGGGACCGGGACGATGGGTCACTAGTTCAATCGTTGGGTCATTGGTTGGACGGGTAATATAATAAAAATTAAAAAATAATTATAAATATTAATAAATAGGCTAAAAAATCACAATATTATAAACATAACATCAAACATATAAAGTTAAGTAGAGAAAAATCATCAACCATGTATACAATTTCAATGTATTCAAACTGATAATGCAACAACATTAGATTTCTAGAAATAAGAATCAAAACGCATTTTGATTGTTGTAACAAACAGAGCCTGATCAAACAGAGCCAAACAAATACAAATTATTCAATGACACTGATTTAACAAATACAAATTATTCAATGACACTGATCAAACAGGGCCAATTTGAACAAACCCATTTTGATTGTTGTATAATGTGGTGCAAAAAATCCAAGAACATTATGTGTCAAGAAAACAGAGAACCACCATATCACAGAACTCTCACCCACACAAACTACAGATACAGAAACATTTACATATATATATATATATATAAACACATATAGGTGGAGGGCAAGAGAGAAAAGGGGGGAGGGAACTCACCTCGTCACTGGACTGGAGGCTGTGCTCAGTGGTTAGAGTCGCTGGTGCCTCATGGATCTATGCTCAGTCGATGGTGCCTAGTGGAGTCGCTGGTGCCTCGTGAAGCTGTGCTCAGCCAATGGTGCCTGGTGGTCTGGATGGCTCGATTTAGGGCAAAGAATTCTGGAACTCTAGTCGACTGGATGGATCAAGAGAGAGAGAGGGATCGAGAGAGATGGAGGCGTTGCTCAGTCGATTGTGTTGTGTCGTCTGGTCTGAACAATTTAGGGCAAGGAAAATACACAATATGCCCAAATGAAGAAAAAATCTTAGATTTATAGTAATGAAATTAAACTGGCCGGTTTGCTAAACCCGTTCGGCTCTCACGGGTTCACCGATTTTTAACTGGTTCAACGGGTTTATTCCTGGTTCCTTACATAAATGGTCTTTTAATAAAACTGGCCCGGTTAGGGGGACCAGTTCACCGGGTTGACCCGCCGGTCTGGGCCGGGTTTTAAAACACTGTTATACATGCTTGAGATGGATTTGGCAAGGTTTGAGATGAATTGAAAATAAAAAACTGATGAAACATAAAATTTTGGGCAAAACCTACCGGTAGCTAACAGGTAGTACATGTTCAGCAGACAAAACCTACTAGTAACTAACAGGTAGTACTTGTTTAGCAGGCAAAACCTATTGGTAGCTAATAGGTAGTACCTGTCCAGTAGGAAAAATCTACCGATAGTTAACAAGTAGTACCTAACCAGTAGAAAAAAACTACCGGTAGCTTACAGGTATAACTTCTACCGGTAGGTCTAACAAACACCAACCAGTAGCTCTTCCGCAAATCTGAAAATTTAAAATTGTTTTGCCAACCCTTTGATCTTTGTTTTCTTTAGTTCAAATGATACAAATAGACATTTAACGGGGTATATTGAGGCACATTGGACCTCCGTTAAAATAAATGATTAAAGGAACACGGGTTATATATGTGGGTTATGATCCTGGTTAAAGGGATATGATTGACATGATGTCGGGTCGTGCGACAAGCACGAGTACTTTCGTGGGTTGATGGGTGGTTAACGGTTGAAAAAAGACTCCCGATTTTAGGGGCGTCACAGCTTGGTATCATAGTCTAGGTATACGAATTACTTAGGGTTTGATGGACATTGAGTTTAGACCATTGCATGCATTGTACATTTCATCTTATGTGCTTACATTGTGTTACATGATTACATGTTATGTGATTAGGTGAATGATATACATGGTAAAATGTATATGGAAAGGGACACTTGGGTTAGAAAACATAACCTTGGGGGTCGAAAAAAAAAATGAACGGGATAGTTCAAGGTATAAATGTTTACTAATGGGTGGTATAGACTCTACTAGGGAAACAAGGAGAAAAATCTCAATGTTTCATGTTTGGTCCTTATCATGGGATACTAAATAAATGCTCTATTGTTATCTGGCATGTGTATAGATGGCAACTAGAAGGAGGGGACGTCGGGGTGGACGAAGCAACCAACCACCATCGGTCTTTGACCAACAAGCCTTTGTGAAGGCTATTCGTGTGATGGTTGTTACAATTGCACAAGCTAATGCTACAGCTGCTCATGTTGCATAGATGGATGCAAATGTGGGGCAAGGAGGCACAAGCAACCTCTAGAAGTTCAAAGCACATAAACCTCCGGTATTCAAGGGAGGGGCGGACCCGATGGTGGTTGACCATTGGTTCCAGCAAGTGGATAAGGTATTGAGGGCTATGGAGATCACCTCCGACGCCACGAATATAACCCTAGCTACGTTTCAGCTAGAGGGAGAATCCCAATTGTGGTGGGATTAGGTGAAGGACTCCAAGAACTTGGAGGCTATGACTTGGGTAAAGTTCAGGGAACTCTTCACGAGAAAGTACTTTTCGGCGGCTGCTAGGCTGTGAAACCCGGGAAAAATTTTAACTTTTTCTGAAAAAAGGGTAAAATGGTAATTTACCATTATAGTGCGGGTTAAAAACTGGTATTTTTCTAGACCTCGGATGATGAAATGGACCTCACTGTTGGATTCGTCTTGCGAAATCTAGTTAGCCAGACAAATTTCGTCGAATTCTGAGATAGTCGAATTTTTTACGTTTTTCAAGGTGACGGGTGTCTGGTGACCTCTAAAAATGAAATTTTTATAAAAATTTTGAAAATTGAAAAATATTTTAAATAAAGTTCATATAAAATATTTTAAACTTAAATCGGTACAAAATTTAATCGTTTCGGGGCGAAAATAGACCCGGACAAAGGACGACACTTGCCGCGACGAGAGTCAAGTCTTTAAAAAGTATAAAAGTGGGCAAATATCTGAAAAATCAGATGTTTTCTCTTCATTTGGCCGGCTGGATCAGACCCAAGAGCAAAGAGGGAAAAAATAATTCTTCAATCTTTCTTTCGCCGATTCTCGGAGTTCTGTCGGTTGAAATTCGTCGGGCCAAGAATTAAAGTCGATCTACGCGATGAGGGCTACGCGTGGGGTACCAAAAAAAAAGATTTTCACCGAAGATCCAAAGGGAGGATTTTGGAAAAATCTGAGCTTTGGGCTTGAATCTTGTTCTTGAGGCTTCCTACGAATTCTTTACGCTTTAAGAAGTGGGGTTCCTCCTACTCGGACCTATTTCTAACCTAAGGTGTTCATAGGGTTCATGTGGGCTGTTTTGGGTATTTCTAATATTTTTCATTATGGTTGGTGTTATGGAAATGAGTAGAATCAATTCTAGTGTGAATTGGTAGTTAGAAAGTGCTAGTTTGTGATTTCTAGAATGTTTCGGTAATTGGTTATATAAAAATCATATATTTTAATTTTTATTTTATTTGAAATGGTCCATATAAAATCTTGGCTTGATTTTGGGTATATAGAAGTATTTATGTAATCCCTTGGAAATTGGGATCATGTGGGCATGCTTTGTGTTTTATATTTGCCTTGTGAATGAAATGTGATATTAGCATGTATTATGTGTTATCATGTTGTTGAAGTGTTGATATATGCTCTTGGATATATTGAACTTGAAATGGTTATAGTGATTATATACAAATGATATTAATTGTCATGGTATACATTGATATGTACAAATTGTCATTTGGCATGCATTGTAATATGGACATGGAATTAACATTACATTCATGGGCTACATGCATGAGTGTGGGTGTAGGGTTGCATGGGGTGATCAACACCAACATTGGTGCTTAATGGTGGGCTCAGGAAAGTGGGATAGAACGTCCTACGGAGTCGCACGGTTACATGCATAAGAAAACTTATGTCGGGTATAACAAGTAGGGCTAGACACTCCCTCAGGTGAAAAACCCGGTTACTTGGTTCATACACTTACCGGAGGTAAAATTTCAGAAAAGTGTAACGGCGTACGGAGCCGGAGGTGCGATTCCTGAATCCG